GCCCTTCCACAAATAAGATCCACTTCTTATTTGTGGAAGGGCGAAATGGGCGTTGACTATTAGACGCCTTCATTATAGCCATCCTTGTCTATCACATGGATTTCTATGGCTTACTTTATCGCTCTCACGTAACTTCTGATAGACCATCGGTACTTTCCTATACTGTATAACATACTTTTAGGATTTTTTCATGACTGCTCATTTACAACCGCTACCAAACTTGCGACTTGGTCCTATTTCATATATTTCGGAGGTATCATCTAATTCTCGCGAAAAGACAGCGATATCTTCTTACCTTGTTATGAAAATCTCTCTAATTGGCATAATGATTTATACAACTTAAAAATAATGATTTTCATTGTAAAAATCATTCCACAAAGAAAGTATATTTGACATATTCATTTCTACTAATATCAATATGCTTTTAGTAGTTTAAACAATTCGATTATTCTTCCATTATTTAGGTTCAGGTTCGTTGTTGAATTTGTAATACATTGACTGATTCTAATAACCATATATTCTGTATACAACCGCCGTAACAACTATTAGTAACTTAAGTCTTGATTAAGTAACAAATGGGGAACTGAGACAACTGGTAAATTCAAAATCGGCCCATGTCTGTCAATTTTACTGATGAATAGCCTTTTACTAGATATTTGATTGTAGGTTATAGTCCGTAGAGCTGTTTCTCACAATATTATTAGTTAGAAAAACATTTACAGTATTCATACAAATATAAATAAAACAAAATACTTTCTGGCAATAATTTTTATTTCTCAATTAACATTGTGGGAGATACAGATTAAATAACTTTAATCATCTTGGCTGTTACTAATCTTTTGAATTCTAGTCCAGAGTACGAGGCATACATATTATGATATTATAACATAAGTTTGGTTAAGTTTGAATTCTTTAAAACATGATTTGTTCAGTATATAAGGAAATTATGACCGGTGCAGTCAGGTATAACAATTTGTACAGTACAAATAAATGAATACCCCTGGTGCCATAATCTGGTTGGGTCTGATAGCGTTGACCGCGATGCCCCCTAGGTATCAATGGGACTATTATAAGTCCACCTGAACCTGTACATGAGAACGATGAAAACAACAGTAATCTCTCTTGTCCGTTCTAGACTCAAATGTATGACATTATCATTAATTGATTTATTTCAAATTAATTGAAAGGCAAATTATTATAAATGGAGAATCACGAAACCTATTTCTATTATTATATTTCACTGAAATAACAATAAGCGAGTCTTTTCAATTTTTTAGTTTTTGGATAAAAATGACGGGTCCTTTAAATTTTCAAAACTTTACTACGTTAAGGCACGTTCTGACTCATTCTATAAGGTACATAAAATAAATTAAAAACCATATAATACGATTATGTTACATGCTCCACATTTTCCTGTTTTTTATTCGTGATACTTTGTACAATCAGGTTGAGGCAATCCAAGCTGGAAGTGGTTGAAGCTATCTCGTAACCTGAAACATCAGCATATTACTTAATTACAATTTGTGTGCGCTTCACTTTAGAAATTTCTTACAGAAAAATATTAGGTAGTTTATACCTTTGAATACCTATATAACACTAGAGGATTATTATTAATTAACCTAAAGCTTGCCATGACTACAGTTTTAGTATGAGCTGTGGTTTTAGCTTTAAGTGAGTTTAATTCGTCGACATCTGCAAGACATTACATGATACAAAGACTTGCTGTCGATGTAGTTAGATCTATAGTGGCTTAATTAATTAACAGATACTGTAATCAAATCTAACATGTACGATTATTCTTTATTATCATTACATTTACACCAGGAAAATTAGCGAAAATAAAAGAGAAACTCGAAAAAAGTCCTATCCGCTAGATTATTGTAAAATTGAACATAATACAAGACATCTCTCGTCTCGTGAGTCAAAAACTTTTATTAGCTAACTTTTTGAGGGTTTTGTCATACTTTAAAAGTGTGCCAAAAGTGGACGCTGTAGGTGCAATAGTTTTCGCATAGGTAATTCTATTTGTTTATAGCGGAAGCTCCAAAAGTTATGAATTTTAAGCCTCTGTACAGGCGTTAATTTTCAACCAAACATGATTCTGAAAGCGTCATTGTAATTTTAAAGACGTAATTAAGCGACCTATTAAAAAATATCACCGTTTTTTTGACATTAACATTCTCAAATTGTGCATTAAAAAACCGTGCGTTTTTCGCTTATAAACAA